TGGAAATTCTTCGGTAAAATCAGTGAATTAGCACTCAACACTCAGGACCCAAGCATGGGTCCCTCGAAGGGAGAGCTGTTGGGTCCCCAGGCTTATATTTAAGTCACATAAAACCAAAGCATAAGGAACAGATTAGACAAGGACTCTTCCAGCCCAGACATGCTCCTTAATAGCTTTTGTACCAAATTTAAATTTGGCAAAAACGTTTTCTTGAAAGGGAGATGCTTGCCTTTCCTGAAGATGCCTAAACACCTCAGTTCTTCAGGTCTTTTCATTATTATTTTTTTTTAAAGATTTTATTTATTTATTTGACAGACAGAGATCACAAGTAGGCAGAGAGGCAGGCAGAGAGAGGAGGAAGCAGGCTTCCCGCTGAGCAGAGAGCCTGATGTGGGGCTCCATCCCAGGACCCTGAGATCATGACCTGAGCCAAAGGCAGAGGCTTTAACCCACTGAGCCACCCAGGCGCCCCATCTTTTCATTATTTTTTTTTAAATTTTTAATTCCAGGATCACTAACATAGAGTGTTGCATTAGTTTCAGGCATACAGTATAGTGATTCAGCAAGTGTATACATTACTCAGTGCTCACCATGATGTACTCTAATCCCCTTCACCCATTTCCCTCACACCCCACCCACCTCCCCGCTGTTAACCTCCAGTCTGTTGTGCAGATAAGAGTCTGTTTTTTGGTTTGTCTTCCCCCCCACTTCTGTTCCTTTGTTTTGTTTCTTAAATTTCACATTTAAGTAAAGTCATATGGTACTTGTTAGGTCTTTCATTATCAGGGTAGTAAAAGGTAGAGATTCTGGGCATGAAATTCTCTTGTGAATATTTCTTGGCCTGCTTACCATGTGATAATTAATTATAATCATATTGTAAAGGATAAGGATGGAACAAGTAGAAAAATCAACCAAGAAACTAATACTTCAGTTTGTTCCTTCAACAACAAAATCCTGAGAATTATCTTGGGCTCAAGTTCTAATATTAGTATGTTATGATGATGTCTCAATTAATACCTCGTGGTTGAGACAAAGAAGTTAGTGAGCTAAACAAAATCATATAATGTGGCTTTTGGAAATGTATGGTACCTTCTCCACCCCTGCCCTCTGTACTCATCATGTACAATCCATGTTCTCATCATTGAAAAAGTTTTGTGCCCCTCTCACCTCCCCTTGATTAAATTTCATTTTTGAAGGCTTGAAAGGTACAATAAAAAGGAGTCATTTATATCAGTGGGTTTTAATATGGAGCTGGGAGGCCATTAAGGTGGGCCTTATGCACACTCCTCCCGGGGTGGAAACATGGACTTTTACACTGGGCCAAACAGCCGATATTCCAAGGACTTTCCATGAACACCTGCAGTCTGGTATAGGAATGAACTTTTGCTCAGTGATTGCCTTTGCAAGCAATTATGGTTAGCCAAGATTGGTTTTCTGTTGCCAACATCAACCAAATTCTTTGCAAACATAGACAAGCATTCCCTTTTCTCTTTAATAAACCCCAACTTCTGTTCCCTAGTGGGTCAAAATTTGGGTTGCTACCTGAACGTGTACTCCCAAATTGCAATTCTGAGACCCAAAATAAATGTGTTTGTTTGATTCAGTTTCGCTTCTTCTCTCAGTTGACACAGGTAATACACTGACATGGTTCCAGAAAGTCGAAGTCTTATAGGAAAGTGAACACATGTGAAATCTCACTTCCATCCCCAACCCCATCCACCATTTACATTTTTATTAGTTTCTTCTTCTTCTTCTTTTAAATCCCCCTGGTGTTTCTTTATGCAAATGCATTTTTTTTTGGAAAGATTTTATTTATTTATTTGACAGACAGAGATCACAAGTAGGCAGAGAGGCAGGCGGGGGAGGGGTGGGAAGCAGGCTCCCTGCTGAGCTCAATCCCAGGACCCTGAGATCATGACCTGAGCCGAAGGCAAAGGTTTAACCCACTGAGCCACCCAGGCGCCCCAGCAAATGCATTCTTATCTCCGTCCTCCCTTTTTACACAAAATAGAGCATATTACCTATGTGTTCTGTTTCACCCATTTCTACTTAATCATACATAGGGGAGATCTTCACCTATTGGTTAAGCAGACTCCTCCCCACTTTTTACAGCAAATAATGTTCCATTATATGGACGTATCACAGTGTATTTAACCTGCCTTCTTTATAGATGGGTTGCTGCCTTTTTTTTTTTTTTTAACCATGAAAACAATGTTGTGATGAGTAATTGTACCTAAAATTTTGTGCATGGACAGATGTATGGGTAGCTTGAATTTCAAAAAAAGTAGATTGAAATGAAGAACATAAAATTTGGTAAGTATTGCCAGATTCTCCTCCACAGGAAATTACACCATTTTGCAAACCAACCAATGGGAGGAGGTATTTCCTTGTTGTGTTGCCCACAGAATGGTATCTAACTTCAGGACTTCTGTCGATCTGACAGAGGACAGATGATACCTTACTTTAGTTTGCTTTTTCTCTTATTATGATGGAAATTAAGCTCTTTACCTGAGTGTTAGGGACATTTGGTCTTTCCTTTTCTGTGAACTGTGTCCATGCCTTTGGTCCATTTTTCTACTGAATCGCTGGCTTTTTCCTTTTTAATATCTCAGACTTCTTTAGATAGTAGTGAGATTAGAATGGACTCATTTTCTCAACCCATTATAGAACTATAGCTTTAAAGAGTCTTTAAAAAGTTATTCATGCCACCCTCTATTCCCTGAAAACAGGAATCCCCTCTTCCCAGTTCGGATCATTTAATTTCGTTTTCTGACTTAAAAACTATTCCATGTTCATTCTAGAAACACTGGAAGGAATTTAAAACTGCATGTTTGCACTTTGTTATACTCCTTTTCTAAGTACGTTATTTAAGGGAACACTTTCCCAGAGGTGGCCACCAGGGACATTCATGGTTTGACATACACATCTCCCAAGTTCTTTTTCCCCTTCTCTTAGCCCCACTGAAAATGCGTGTGGTGGAAAATGTTGTCTTCAGCAATATCCTTTATGCTGTTACCATTCCGCAAAGCAAGGAAACAAGCAAAAACATGGTCATATTTAGGGACTGTGGTCTCTGCAGACCTGCGGTCCTTCCTGGCATCCTGGTCATCTTAGTAACAGGGCCCCAGTGACAGGGCCTGGGAAGAAGAGAGCTCTGCTTATCCTATTCAGTAATTTACCACCACCTCAAAATGTCTGATGACAAAATCCTGCTGCACCCTTTCTAAATCAAGCTCCAGATCTTGGTTAAAACTGTTTTTAAACTAGAGTTAGCGGCACCATATCAGAAATGAGAACAACAAAAACTTGAACATGTTGGTGATTTAAGTTAAAATTTATATTTTGAAATAAAAATGCATAACAAAAATTTACAAAATAGTCACACAGGAACACATCTCAAGATACCAGGACATGCCTTATTTACTTAGAAAAAAGTTCCACAGGTAAAACAAAGAGTAGTCATTTATAAATGTCAGTTTCTTTCTTTGAGCAAGAGATAGCTTACCTTAAATGTCACAACTGCAAAACCCCTGAGGCCCCGGGATGCAGCAAGGACTCAGGGCCTGCCTGAGGGAGGCCGCCTGCGGGGCTGGCCTCCATGGTGGGGGCTGCTTCCCCAGGCACCAGAGGAGAGGGGAGACTGGTGATTTCTAAGGTCCTGCGTGCCAAGGGCCTTTCATTCAATGAACGGGACATCATTATAATTACCATTTTTTTGTACCTTTGACTGTAAACTTCAACAGAAAATAACACGCTTAAAAACTGTACCATAAAATGTGCTATGGTTTCTGCTATGACTCTTAGCACCTTTGGAAAATTTCCATCTCAGAAACCTCTGAGTTGGTTGGCTCTCTTGGGAGATTCCTGCCTTGGGTCGGGGGGTATCTTCCACGCACACTAGTCCATACGGAAAAACTAGCTAGCAGGCCTTTTCCCAAAGCCGGTCCAGGGCTCTGCCCTCATCACACAGGCTATGCCCACAGTGTCTCTGCTCAGGCTCAGACCATCTTCTAATGACGGAGTGCCCAGTTGATCGATTTATTGTTTTTCGTGGCATTTCACTGGTTACTATGTAAGTTGTATTTTAGTGCATTCCTGTAGAGTTTCTTCAATTCACGCTGCTAGCAGCGTGATTGACAGTGTGAGGTTTTTACATAACATCTCTTCACATATTTTGCTGGCATGTGAAGCTCAGCGGATTTGGTTCAGGCACAAAGGACAGGATTTGGGTGTTGGCAGATAGCTGCATCTCTGCACCTTCTAGTTCTAACTCTGCCTACCCCCCCTTGATGTTGCATTTTAGCTAAATTCCTCGCGAGAGTCAACGAGATTTGCTCACAATTCCTCTGGCAAAATATTTAGTTTCCTTTTCAATACTAAACATGACTTTTTGCAACAAAGACATGCTTGGGCCCAACATCACAAAACCATGCTCTCAGAAAAATGACCAAAAAATACAGTTGACTTGTCTCCAAATCCTGATTCTAAAATCAAGGTAGGTCTTTAGGACTTTGACCCTGCCCACAGAGCCCCACATTCTAGGATACATTATTCCCCATTAGCATGTCTGTGGTTTGACAAAAATCGGAGTACATACTCTCATATAGGAGCACGTTAAGATCATTGAAATTCATAATTACACTGTTTAACCTCTTCCATGATTACTTAAAAATTCATAACAGCATCACTGAAACTTGTTAATTTTCAGGGCAGTTGATTTAGAAACATTTCCTCTCACAACAATTGTACTACTATCCATTTTTATTTATTCCTAATTAAATTCAATTTTGACTACCTGATTCTGAGTGTGAGGTAGCCTCATAGTTTTATTGCTATGAAAGTAGCAGGTTCCAAAGTACCATGTGAAGTATTCGATTAGATTAAAATGAGAGGAAAATACAGGATCAGTTAAACCATTTCCTCACTTGGCATATGAACTAAAACAAACAAACAAACAAACAAACAAAAAAACCCAAAAAATAAAAAAACCAAAAACACCATCCATCTTTAGTGATAAAGATACAGTTCTTTTGTGAGCATAGACACAATACATGGAATCTGTTTCTTTCCATGAAAAGCAGAGTCAAGAGAAAAGGACTCAAATTCTGTGGCTACCTTTCGGTTAACTCGGGTAAGAATGTGCATAAACTCAAGCTTGTGAGCATACAGTTTCAGCATCGTGCAGAGTGACTGGATGAACCAGGATCCGTCCTTTGAGTTTCGCCAGGAATAGTAACCTACGAGGCAGAGTAACAACCCAAGTACCATGAGTATCTGATTTTATAGATTACATAATCACAAAGGTAAAAATAAGCACAAAGATCCACACACATTACCAGCCATAAAAAGGAAATAAACACCTCCTCTTGTTTCAGGGGAGATGATGTTGGCGGTGGGGTTGGCGTTGTGCATACACCTCTCCTTCTGGTAAGGAAAAAAGAGTGTGAACTACCTTCCCCGCTGAATCATGGTGAGTTCTCTTGTCTGGGTTTCCCTTCTCATAGAGAGGAAGAGGGAAACATGCAAAAGATGCAGGGACAAACGTGTAAGAGACACCATTTTAAGAAGCCTGATGTTGCCATCAGATTACTGATTCACCCCAGACATCAACTGCTTATGTATGCACACATTTACATGTCCTAAATTTGTCTACAAGGCATCCAGATGAAGTATAATAAAGACATTACAGAATATTCAAAAACTCCAAAAAAAGAGAACACAATGTATCCATCGTACTTTTTCTCAGATTAACTCTCGGATCTATTGCTTCTAATTTGGAAGTACTTTACCTGGAACTGTCTTGAGGTTAAAAAGAAATCATATTGAGCGTATTTAAAAATGTAACATTCTTTAAATATACATTTGTCCTCTATTTCCAAACTTTGTGCCACCCCGAGTTAGCTATATAATAAATAAATTGCACAATCAATACTTATTTATAGGAGGACAGGTAAAACACAACTGCAATAACATGGAATAACCTATTTCTTTTCCCCCATTCCATTCTACCCTCTCACACACTATTCAGGTTTATTTTTATTATTTCCCATCTTCCAAGGAATTCCTGGAAAATGTGACAATATAGCACATACTATACCGTATCATAAGATTACAATTCATCCCCTATATTACAATACACAATATTGTATATTATAATATCTGGCATTAAGTTCATGGAGGACACTGTGGATGTATGCTTTCTTATTTTTTTAATTTTAATTTTTTATTTTTTAAGATTATTTATTTATTTGGTAGACAGAGATCACAAGTAGGCAGAGAGGCAGGCGGGGACGGGGGCGGGGAGCGGCGGCGGGAAGCAAACTCCCCGCTGAGCAAAGAGCCCGAGGTGGGGCTCAATCCCGGGACCCTGGGATCATGACCTGAGCCAAAGGCAGAGAGGCTTCAACCCACTGAGCCACCCAAGCGCCCCTCTTATATTTTTTTTAATATGTTCAGTTAGACAGTATACAGTATGTCATTAGTTTTTGATGTAGTGTTCAACAATTCATTAGTTGTATGTAACACCAGTGCTCATCACAATACGTGTCCTCCGTCATGCCCATCACCCGGTTACCCCATCCTCCCACCTTCGTATAAATGCACACCTTTCAGCCAAACTTTGCTTAAAGATGACTTTCTGACACTCCTCTGTTACCTTAAAATACAGACCCGTTAGCTGTTTATGAATGTGAAAACCTTGGAAACCTTTGGAACACTTGCTCTGTGTTTAGACTCTCCAGGTAACATCTGTTATTGGTAGCTGTCTTACCAGGGGCCGTGGAATAGGCATACAGGAAGTCCGCTTCAACCGGTATTTTCTGACAGGCCATGTCGTCCTCAGCTCCACTGTCCGTCTCAATACCGCAGTCCAGGTCTGTGCCTCGGCAGGCCTAGCAGTTAGAAAATAAGCACTTAAGGGCGCCTGCATGGCTCAGTTGGTTAAGCTTTTGACTCTTGATCTCAGGTCTTGTCCTCAAGGTCGTGAGTTCAAGCCCCATGTTGGGCTCCATGTGTGGAGACTACTTAAAAAAAAATTATTAAAAACCATTATGTGTGTATACACATAATTGTTATTTCTAAGAAATGTAAAGGCTGTGTAAACATGGATTTTAAATGAGGAATCATTTTGATTCAAGTCTAAAAGGAATATTTATTCTCTATCTTGTAAGTGGTAGTTTAAATGAATAAAAAAGTTAAAGTAGTTCAGTAGCTTCAGGGGAAAAAAATAAATCCATTGGCTAATCCACAAATGAGCAAATTAATCCCTGATTAATCCTCAATAACTAAGTTGTTTAGGTATAAATTACCTGAATAATGAAAAGTTTGGGTTTTCCAGTCAGACTTCGACAGTAATCCCCTCTGAAGAAACCTGTTAGTTTTTTCAGGTCAACAGGTCCATTGGTTCCAAAAATTATTCCTTCATCCCCGTGGCTTAGAAGTACACAAACAAAACTGCTCCTTTTGCTATGATCTTCTTTAGAGACTGGAAAAATGTTTACAAGTAAGGAAAATAAACATAAAAAACAACACAACTTCATTCACCCATCAATCTCCTATTTAAACTGTACAGGAGAAAGATGAAGAAACTTGAGGACAGAACTGAGAGATCATCAAAACCCACCTTGGGGCAGTCGACATACCTCAAACCATGTTAGGGAGGTAGCATGAATAACTTTTACTTTATGTATATAAAATGTGGGATTATATAGATATGGTGCCCCAGTTCTCATGCCTTATTATTATAATTACAGCTATACCATAATATAAAACTGGACAATAAAGGGAGGTCATCATTCTTTTTAATTATTTCTTACCACTGTCCATTAATTCCAAAATTTCTTCGCATGTGAGATCATTTTTATTCCTGACTTCATATTTCAAGTTCGTGAATGTTTCCCGGAGGTTTGCTGCATCTACATCTGTACCAGACCGAGGTGCCATTCCTTGAAAACAGAAAGGATTACTTATAACTGCATTAAAAAAAAATAATTCCTCTGAAATAAACTATTCAGCAAGTCACACAATCCACAATAAAATCTTTTCAACTGCTAAGAAAATTCAATGACTTTGATCTAACACAAAGTCTCTTTAGTTTCTTAGCATATAAGACACTTTATAACATAAGCTGTATCAGTGCTATGGTCAGAAGGATATCTTTCACAGCTGCTTAGATAGTGAAAAACACAACTGAAATGCTTAACGAGAGAAGTTCGGTTAAATAAATTATGATTCACTTACATAATGAACTACTGTGTTGCCATTAACATTTCTGTAGACATGACACAACTCAGTCGGTTGAACATCCGACTCTCGATTTTGGCTCATGTCATGATCTCAGGGATGTGGGATCAAGCGCTGCAGTGGGTTCCAAGCTCAGCCCAGGGTCTACCGGAGATTCTCTCTCTCCTTCTGCCCCTCCCCCGATCTCTCCCTCCCTCTCTCTCTCTCTCTCTCTCTGTGTCTCTCAAATAAATAAATCTTTTTAAAAAAAATTTCCGTAGATAAAATTTTGCCATGGGAAATGGTCATTGTATTAAAAAAACCTGTAAAACAACAGGATCCTACTTTTGTGTAAGAAAAAATGCTATATATAACAATACACACATCTCACACATTCAGAGGAACTGTATTTTTTTAGGTTCCCAACAATTTTAAGATCCATTACTACTTTAATATGCTTTCAGAAAAAAAAAAAAAAAACCCACAAACCACTACCACATTAATCTTATTCACCAGGCATCCTGCTATGAGTAATTTCCTTCAACTCTTCCAAACACCAGTGTGACAGTGACTGTGACCAGCTTCACTTGTACAGATGTGGGACAGGGAGCACAGAGAAGTTCAGGAACTTGTTGAAAGTAATGAGGCTAGCGTCAGTCCTGTACCCAGGGGTTCTGGGCTTCAGTTTCTCCTTTACAGTACTCTCCACATTAATGGACAGACTGACTATACAATGTGTTCAGATCTAAAAATGCCAAAGTGTTAGAGAAGACACACCTTAGAACTGAGTAAATTATAACATGTATTAATACAAAAAAATACTCAATGCCTGTGCCCACAAAATATTGTTGATAGAGCATCTCTGAGTAGTGTGACTATGAGTGACTTTAATGCTTTTTCTTTTATTAATCTGTAGTTTCTGAAATTTGTATTATGGCCATAGGTAATTTTTGTAAAATTAAAATAAAGCCCATCAAAGTTTTGACTTTGGAGAGGATGAGGACACCATGCAGCTATGTGACAAAGAGGCTGAATTCTGGTCCTGGGTTGTGAGCCATTTATTTATTTATTTATTTATTTATTTATTTTAAAAGATTTTATTTATTTATTAGACAGAGATCACAAGTAAGCAGAGAGGCAGGCAGAGAGAGAGGAAGGGAAGCAGGCTCCCCGCTGAGCAGAGCACCTGACGTGGGGCTTGATTCCAGAACCCTGGGATCACGACCCAAGTTGAAGGCAGAGGCTTTAACCCACTGTGCCACCCAGGCGCCCCATGAGCCATTTAACAGTAGAACAGAAAACACAAGACCATAAGGAGAGCACTGTGAGGACCTGACCTTTACATTTCAAAGCAGAAGAAGAGCTCATTCGATTGCTAAAGTTAGACTCCTGGGTTAAGTAATTTGTGGTTATGGCTGTTAAAGAATAGGTTCCACAATGTAAAATTCTACAGGAAGTGGGCATCATAACTAGCAACGTGATAAAGAGTATCTGATGGTTGAAGGTGGCATCTCAACTTACAGCCAAAAGCAATATGAAGACTTTCATTCAGATTCAGACACCTATTTTTCCCGCTACTCCTTCCTCATAACTATTCTAACACCAAGTTCTGCTTATCGTTCCAGGGCAACCTGGATTCTTCTGGCCATTTTCACCACCGGCCCAATAGATGGCCTCCTAAATTGGATCTGGGCCTTCTAATTTCTTTAGTTAAAAATTAAGTCTAATGTGATCGATATGCCGATTCAAAGAATTATCACAGCATCAATATAAATATAAAAAATAAGAAATGGAGAAACAGCCCAAATGTCCATTCATAGGATAAATTATGCAAATTAAGCAAATGAAATACTATATAATAATTAAAAGATCTGATAATTATATAGCAATGTGAAAAATGCTTACATTACATTAAGTGGAACAAGCAGAATGCAACACTGCTTACGTATTATGAATGAAATTAAGCTTTGAAAGAAACTCTCAGGAAAAAAGAATCAACACATCAAGATTTTAATGAACTTTCTGGGATTGTAAGGGATTTGATGGTTTATATTCTCTAAATATATATATATATATTCTGAACCATATCAGTAGATTCAAGTCACACCCAGTACAGACACTGAGAAGAGAGATTTAGTGATCAGGCCATGGGGAACCTAAGAAAGCAGTTTCTGCAGAGGTAGAAAACAGAAAAGAGATTCAAGAGGGATGGAGAGAAGTGAAGATGGCAAGCTTACAGCCCATATTTTCAAAAATTTAGAAGAGATAGGCCAAGTCCTAGCTCTGCTACTAAACGATCTGTGTGAACTCTGTATCAGAATTTTAACCTTTCAGCATCTAATTGTGGTTACTTTTCTGAATTGTTGCAAAAATTAAACGAGATAATACCTATGAGGTGCCTCACACAGTTCTGGGAAAGAAAAATATACTGCTTCTTATTTGTTGCAATCTGTTAGAATGAAAGAGGGAGCAGGAGGATAAAGAAGCAAGAGTTCTACAGAATTTGGGGCAGGAGAGCCAACACACAGATGGGAAGCTAGCTGTTGGAAGAGGGAAAAATTCTGATAATGGGTGGAAGATCAAGAGTTAGTGATGGACTATGTGTAGGGTCCTGCTCTATCTTTACTTTGTGGCTATTCTGTGTTATCGTTTACTAACTAATAACATCAGTTCTATTTTTTATATTATACCAAACGTAAATGGTACAATATTTTTTTTTAAAGATTTTATCCATTTATTCGACAGACAGAGATCACAAGTAGGCAGAGAGGCAGGCAGAGACAGAGGAAGGGAAGCAGGCTCCCTGCCGAGCAGAGAGCCCGATGTGGGGCTCGATCCGAGGATCCTGAGATCATGACCTGAGCCGAAGGCAGAGGCTTTAACCCACTGAGCCACCCAGGCGCCGCAAATGGTACAATATTTGAAGAGGACTAAAAATTACGTTAGGGTACATACCAGTACTTCTATGAAAGTTCTTATTATTAATTATTATACATAAACCCATTTCAGGATAATCCATTTTATAACTGTTGTCCAAGGACATTCCAGAGTCCACTGATTTGCTTCCATGTAAGATCTTTCTGTTTGGAAATAAAAAAACAGTTAACAAAGGTAGAAATGACTGATGCTGCTGTTCACAGTAATACAAATTTTATAATACATAAGAACAGTTCACATTTGTTTAATGAATGTCAGGCTTTGTGCTATAGGCCTTTCCTGATTTAAATTTCATGAGAAACCATTTCACAGATGTGGAAATGTGTACCCCGAGGCTCAGTGCTGAGGGTGACACAGACACTGTCAGAGCCAAGGGAGAGCACACCTGTCGGACTTCAGAGTTCAGGCTTTTACTCTCTACATTTTAAGTTTTCCTCTAAATTTTTATAAAATTTTACCAAATATATTTTATAGTTTAAAATTCTTAAATTTCTTATAGCTTGTGAGATATTTATCTCTCAAGGTAAGAATAAGATCTTAAAAATACCCTGAAAATGAGAGGAAACTGAAAAAATGCAAATACATCTCAAAGCATGGTATTTTCACCATTCCTAAATTGCTCCTTAAACACTATGAGCTGAACAGTTAACAGTTAATACACAGATCACTGTTGTAAAGAATTGGAAATAGTTGTCTGCAGGTCACTTATCCAAAAACCTGTTATCTAGACCAGGATCAAAAACCTTTTTTTTTTTTTTTTCAAAAAAGCCAAACATTAAGTATTTGAGATTTGTAGGTCGTACAGTCTCCATTGAAGCAGCTACTCCATTCTACTGGTGAAAGTAGACCAGGATGACATGTAAAGGAATGTGTGTGGCTATGTCCCAATAAAACTTGACCAAAATAGACAGCAGTCCTGACCCCTGATCTAGTCCAAGGATTAGGACACATCAGGTCTAGGGACACCAAACATCAACACCTCAAGTCCACGTCCTCATGCATTTAACCCGAGAGTATTTCAGATTATATACAATTCTACAAACATTGTTGGAAAAAGATTAAAATAGTAAATTAAAGCAGCCGAGGTCAGAAACAACTATATTTAGCTAACAGTGAAGATCCCCACATTGTACGGGTGAGAAAATTTATGCTCAGAAAGCCAAGTGACTTGTTGAAAATCATATAAATTGTGGATCCCAGAACTGTAATTCCCCACCACCCCTGCTGCCTCCTTAGGAGGGAGGGTTCCTCTACCAGCAACAGGATAGCTTCCTGGGGAGGGGGACACGCCTGACACAGAGCAGACTTAAAAGCCGAGGGACACGAGCATAACTTATCGTTGAATTGAAGCAGACCTAAATCTGTTTTGGGCTCCTGTGCAATTTGCTATTAAATTATATTCTGTATGATATGAAAAGGTAGGAAAATGTGTAAGTCACTTAAAAAGGTTTAAAAAATAAATAAAAGACCCCAACCCTTCTAAAATGAGATTGTATCTCAAAAGTTTAGTTTCTGGGGTGCCTGGGTGGCTCAGTGGGTTAAGCCCTCTGCCTTCGGCTCAGGTCATGATCTCAGGGTCCTGGGATTGAGCCCCGCATTGGGCTCTCTGCTCGGCGGGGAGCCTGCTTCCCCCTCTCTCTCTCTGCCTGCCTCTCTGCCTACTTGTGATCTCTGTCTGTCAAATAAATAAAATCTTAAAAAAAAAAAATTAAAAAAAAAAAGTTTAGTTTCCAATAAACCTCTTCAGCTAAGCAGACACTGCTAAATCATTATTGGTAACCTGGTGATCGTTCTGTAATACTTTTGTTTAATATGAAGATCACTAAATAATTACTGTGATTTTTGTCCAAAATAATAATACTGGGTCTCAGAAGAAACTTTCGGAATTCAAAGTTCCACAAGGGATCCCAAGTGGATAATGACATGAATTACATTAATGGTGTTTACATTTGATCTTTTTCCTTCCTCCATCATTTGGTTTTGGGAAGCATTAATAAGCAAACTACTGGAAAGAGGAAGACAGAAAAACAGACGGTGCAAGATGACCTAAAAGCAGGCAGTTCTTCCCCAGACTCAGAACTGGCATTTCATTTTAGTCTTAAAACTCATAAATAGAGATGTCTGGGTGGCTCAGTTGGTTAAATGTCTGCCTTTGGCTCAGGTCATGATCTTGGGGTCCTGGGATCGAGCCCCGTGTCAGGCTCCTTGCTCAGCAGGGAGCCTGCTCCTCCCTCTGCCTGCTGCTCCCCCTGCTTGGGCTCTCTCTGGCAAATAAATAAACAAAATCTTTAAAGAAAAAGAACAACTCATAAATAAACAGAAAGCCAAAAATCTCCTCCAAACACAAAAGCTGTCATCCTACAGACAGATTTTGGGAGGCACAGAATTGCGAGTTCTGCCTCTCCTAAGGCATCCTTCTGCAGGTTGGGGATTCTGACTATGGGGCAGACTCTGTACCTCATCATGCCCTGTGCCCTCCCCACAGTATCATGAAAGTTTGGTTTGAAAGATGAGATTCAGGGAGGATAAGTTAACATGTGCAAAAGCCATGCAGCTGTCAAGGGAGGATGTCAGCTGGTTCTCTCTAGTTTGAAAGCCCTTTCTGCTTCCCCATTCCTTCAAGTCTGCTGTATTACCTACACATCTTTCCTTCATTTAAAGGATAGAAATAGAATATTTTTCTATTAGAAATATATTATAGAATAGAATATATTAGAATAGCTATATATAGAACATATAATATATATAGAATATGTAATATAATAGAATATATAACATAATAGAATATATAGGAATATATTATAGAATAGAATATATCCAATAGAAATACTCACGTTTCTGAATTTTTAATGGATTTTGCATCCACGGAGTGTTCACTGTTCTCCATGGATACTTCTAACTGGAATATAAAGAAGACTGGAGTTAATCTGTCATTAGAAGACCACTGCATTATATTAATTATTCCAATGATTATTTCTCCAAATTAATGCTATATATGGACATTTTACCACTGGCATTACCACTCCTGGCCCAGCTTCTCCTCTCTTGTTAAAGGTTTTTGGGGGTCAAACCTGAGAGCTATAATCCTTTCTAAAAGTATGTGCAATGTAGTCCATTTCTTTCTCTCTCCTTCTCTCTTTTTTAACTGAGCTATGAACTTCATTTAGTGTACAGGTAAGAAGCACACAGCTTGATAAATATTTACATTTACCCACTCCCACCAGATCAAGATACAGATTACAATTTGTTTCTCTCACAACAGATCAGGTCATTCATTGCTAAGAACTTAGTATTCCAAGGCAGCACAGTCCAGACGAAACCCAGAAACTTCCCATCACAATGGTATAGCTCACACGCTACTATGCTACAAAGCTTTAGATTCTCAAAAGACACAGCACCAGGAAGTCCAAACTTCCATGTAATCTTTATTTTGAAACTGGGCTTGAGAATTCCACCTACTCATCTAGGGCGGTAGAATGGCCAGGGAAACCTGGAAGAGAGAACTAAAGTTTCTGCTTTCAATCTTCCATCAGACAATGCCAGTGGACCTGACACGGTGAGCGAGTCCTTATTATCAGAGCAGTTGGCACTTAACGGAGGACTTATTAGACAGCAGGCACTGTGCTAGGCATCTCATCTTTCCTCTTCCCAACATTCCTGAGAGCCAGGAAACCCCATTTCTAGTGATAAATGACTCTGTGCACAGTCACAGAGCTAAGTGACTCAGGCCCTCTCCTTCCCACTCTGCTCTGCTGCCTCTGAAGAAGCCAGTTCCTTACTACTTGTCTTCTGGAGTTCTCCCATGTCTTCTCTGGCCTTCCAGAAGTAAATGTACTTCCCATGGCAATCTGCCTCCCTAAATGAAGAAAAGAGAAAAACAGACCCCCAAATTCTTGACTTTCTCCAGCCTCTAGAAGCCCTGGCAAGCACAAAAATACAAATCAAAATACAACTTTAACCTGACTCATATACTAAGATCAGAAATCGTAAAAGAATATAAAAGCCCGTCAATAGGTCTCAGCCAATCACAAAAGCCTTTACAGAAAGTCCTAGCATTCCTCACCACTTTTAAATTAAAAAAAAATTGTGATACATAAATCTACCATCTTAACTATTTTAAGTATATAACTCAGTAACATTAAGTATAGTTACATTAGTGTATAGCTATCACCACCATCCTTCTCTAGAACTTACTTTTTCATCATCCCAAACTGAAAATCCCTACCAAACCCACCCTTTTCCAAGCCCAAAGCTAAGGAGACCTCTTCTGTTCTCCAAAGCTAAGTTCATTCCTGTCTTCTCCCTAAATACCGTGTGAACCTATGGTGAGAAAAGATGGAGACAAGAATATGGAAGAAAGGAAGTGTGACCATTTCAATTCAACCACAGAGAAGAGCAGTGTTTTACTTCCTCTCAAAGCCAGTCTTTGTTTTGCTTTTCTAACAAAGACTCTTTGCTTTTCTACCATCTTGTTTCCTATAGGCTTTCTAGAAAACCAAGGGAGGATGGTGAATACAACCTTAGTGAGCACATGCTTTGTAAGAGGTATCACTGTAGGCACCAAGACAGAGTGGAAGACAAGACAAAGTTCTTACCTTCAAACTTTCATCGTAGAAAGGAAGAATAATTACAGATTGATAGTAAGATTTCTGACACTAATTGGGACAATGAAGAAAAGAAAATGGGGTAAAGTAATGGAGAGACTGAAAGTATAAGCTACTTTAGCTAAGCTGGTTGGGGAAGCCATCTCTTGGGTAGTGCTTATATCGAGATCTAAATGACACAGAAGTTATCTTTGCTGGGAAGGACCAAGAAGTACAAAGTCCCTGAAAAAGTTTGGGGTATTCATGGTACAGAACGAATACCATTTTGACCAGTGCATGGTAAAAGAAGGGAAGCCATAAAAAGAGATGAAGTAGGGAAGGTGAGATCACATAGGGCCCTCAGGAGCCGAGAGCAGCTTTGGTTTTATTCTGGTTGCAAGGAAAAACCATTGGTGTGTTTTAAGCAAAGGTGGGACAGCATGCTTTAAAAAGATCACTCTGGCTGCTGAGTGGAGAATCAACTGTAGAAGATTGGTGTAGAGGCACACAAGCCAATGGAAAGCCTTACAGAATAGTTCTAGAAAGAGATGATGGTGGCTTAGATTCGATCTGATCACTGGATATATGTAGTTAAGAGTCTGGAACTCAGGGAGAGATCAGCACTGGAGATACACAGGGCACTCTGCTATTTACAAGGCCAGCCTGAGACTAAGAAAGATGACTGAAATGAGGAGGGGAGTTGAGTGGGGAGGAGTCAGATGAATGCTGTATACCAAAGCATGCAGAAGTCTTTCAAGGAATGTTCCATGCTTTAAATTTTGCTAAGAGGTCAAGTCAGTTGAGGACAGACCGTTGGCTTTGGCAAGAAGGTCATGGGTATAGTGGGGATTATGAGGAAAAAATTGTCTAACACCTGGAAATGGGCAAAAGTAGTTATTGTATAGCATTTCAGTGTGGTGCTGGGCATGGTCTAGAAGAATCTTGAGGATTAGCTGACTTTATAGCGTGTCTTTTTTTTTTTTAAGTTCTTATTTAAATTCTAGTTAGTTAACATAGAAAGTAATATTGGTACCAGCAGTAGAATGTGGCGATCAATCACTTACATACATACAACACCCTGTGCTCATCACAAGTGCCCTCATTAATACCCATATGCATTTAGCCATTCCCTAACCACCTCCCCACCAGCAACCTTTCTGTTCTCTATAGTTAAGACTCTCTTATGGTTTGCCTCCCTCTCTTTTTCCACCCTTCCTCCATGTCTTGTTTCTTAAATTTCACGTTTGAGTGGAATCATATGATATTTGTCTTTCTGACTTATTTTGCTTAGCATAATACACTGTAACTCATCCATGTCATTGCAAAAGGCAAGATTTCATTCTATTCCATTGTGAGTATATATGTGTGTTTGTGTATGTACACACATAGCATATCTTCTTTGTCCATTCATCAGTCGATGGACATTTGTGCTCTTTCCATAATTTGGTTATTGTTGATAATGCAGGTGCCCCTTCTAATCAGTATGTTTGTATCCTTTGGGTAAATATCTAGTAGTACAATTGCTGGGTCATAGGGTAGTTCTATTTTTAACTTTCTGAGGAACCTCCATACTGTTTTCCAGAGTGGCTGCACCAGTTTGCATTCCTACCAACAATGTTAAGATGGTTCCCCTTTCTCTGAATCCTTGCCAACACCTGTTGTTTCCTGTGTTGTAATTTTAGTCATTCTGCAGGTGTGAGGTAGTACTTCATCTTGGTTTTGATTTGTATTTCTCTGATGGCTGTGGTTCAGCATCTTTTCATGTATCTGTTAGCCATCTGAATGTCTTCTTTGGAAAAACGTCTATTCATGTCTTCTGTCCATTTCTTAAGTGGATATTTGTTTTTTTGGCTGTTGAGTTTGATAAGCTCCTTACAGATTTTAGATACTAACTCTTTATCTGACCTTGTAATGACTAGGTTATTTTACAACTCTGTAGGAAATTAAGTCACAGAAAATGGATAGCCATGCTAATGGTTCTTGTCTATAGCAACAAAAATGAATTTTGTCTTTCAATGATACTGATTTTTGACCTATAGAAAAATGACCCTTCCAAATTATGTTTCACTGCCATGTAGGATATTAACCAGTTCTGCCTCTATTAGCAAATTCATCTCAGTATACCTAACCATCTGTTAGCTCTTCGAATTCTCCTTTGAACTGGTCTTAGTCTCTTACTGGTTCTATTATTAATTAAATAAAGTACCTGAAACATATTTATTCTACATTTACACAACAGCCAAGTGTCACAATTTTCAAACATTATAGTTTAAAAGGATCAATGTTGTGGCAGTGGGTTGGGGAGAAAATGGGAGAACAAAAATGAGTAAAGAGAACACAAGTGAGCAAGCAGTTTTGCAGGGAAGGGGAAAAGAGAAATGGCATAGGAGCTGGAGGGGGAGGAGGGGTAGAGATTTCTTGTTTTGTTTGGTTTTGAAGATGGGCCATGGAAGGCTTGCTTTCATGCTAATGAGAATGATCTATGGAAAGTGAGAAATTAATAAGGCAAGAGGAGAGAAAGTTCCTGAAGAGATGGATTTGCAAATCTCTCACATATCGGGAGGACTTAGTCTCAGCTAAGGACAAGTAAGGGTTCATCCCCCTAAGGAGAAGGAGGGCAAACTATTGGGGCACATGTGGCAGGAGGGTGAATGTGAGGCAAGGAGGATGAGGTACTTCTTATAAGATTGCTTCTATTTTCTCTATATTATATTTCTCTATATTATCTCTATATTTAGAAGATGAACTATGAGAAAAGAATCCCAAAATGTCCAAGGTGTACTTTCGTGTATATTTACCCATGTATTATAATCAAGTAATACCAAAAACCAATCACATACAATGCTAGCAGGGGTGTGGGAGATCGGCATTCTCATACACTACTACAAGGGGCATACATTGGTATTATCTCTTGAGAACATCTTGCTATGTCCTCCTATCCCTCAATAAAAACTTAGAAGTTTTGATCTGGTAAAATTACACTTCTAAGAACATAGCCTAGAAAAAATAACCCCAGGGAGTGGGAAGAGGAGGAAAAGAGAAGGAGGGGAGAGGAGAACATTGAGAATTGAGAATAGTTATGTTGTGGTATATCCATACATTAGTTAAAACAGCTACAAAACTTTTTTAAAGAACTAAATTATGCAGGAAATGCTTATAAGGCTAAGTAAAAATAGGTTATAAGGTTTTATAAAATAATATAATCTCAATTTTCTATACAAGAAAAAGACCCAAAGTAATTATCCAGCATCTTTAGGCATTAACCTATCATCCAACTGTGGCTATCTCTGGGTGATGGGATTACTGGCTACTTATT